GATATTATAAACGTTTTCGTGTTTATTTTATTTGTTCTATTTGAAGTTTTGATTATATCATTTTTATCAAGTTAAAGGCACTGTTGTTTAGGTCTTTCAGTGATATTTTGAATTTTATTGTATAGATTCAGACAGTCTTAACATAAGTAATAGTTTCCACCACTTCGTCTCATCCACTTTTAAGGATTCACAAGAAAAAAATTAACATATTTCATTTATATTGTCATGGGAATGCCTAAGCCGTCCCTGTAGAGCGCGACCTGCAGCTTGAGTCATGGTCGAAACGCCGCTGCTGTATAGAGACAAACGCTCCGCTTCACGAATCTACCAGAAAAGCAATACGTGACCATTGAGTCATAGAGGTGGAATTTTCGGGTGACTTTGAGAGTGTCTAGAAACTACGAGTACAGAATTGCCTTTGTGTAAATGGCGCAATTTCGTCGATGGACGAGTAGTTTAGAATAAAGTATTGGACTGAAAAGATACATTGTAATAAATAAATTAGAATTATGAGTTAGTGCCTAAGTATTATATAAATTAATTAGTACATTACAAATAAATTATAAATAGTGTGTTTTAAATAAATGAACTATAAATAAATTAAACTATCGTCACAATATGTTTAATCCTAGCAGTTAGTGGCAGTAATTTTATTCAGATATAATGATTTTTAATTACGGGAAGAGCTTCTGAAATATATACAATTTTTATTTCTACGAATTCCATTAAAACTTTTCCTCACATCTATATCTTCTCTTTCGCGAAGAAACTTTTACCATTTAGCCAACAATCATCTATAGTTCTCATTGAGGTACTTTTTGTACATGCATTTGCCATATTAATTTTTAAAGGACCCAGTTTCTGTAGTTGTTGTTTTTACATTTTTTCCTATGCGGGTTGCAACAAATGTTTAAAGTTTTTTAATTATAAAGCCATCTTAAAACCGTTTTGGAATTAAACCAAATATATTTCCTTTTAATATTGTTGTTTGTGATAAAAGTGCCCCCCCCCCTCTATGGCAGCAGCAAGTAGTTCTAATTTTAGAATTGTGATAGTTTTAGGAGGAGCGACTCTGTATATATTTTGGTAACTTCAACACCCTCTACCTTTTTGGGATCAAACTACAGAGAGTCTTAGACATGAGCCAAAAAACTGAATCAAAGTTTTAGCTCTACATTTTTGTTCTCTTACTTTTGTTTTTCCGACCTATAGGAATCGAGATAAATTCCAAAAAAAATATCAAGATAGCGGAATTTTCATAACAATTTGGGATTTTAGTTTTTGAACTCCCAAAATAATATATTAAAAATTCAGGCTGTGCCTAAATTTTTTAGATCTTTAATGACAGTTTGACTGTACTATTTAATATTTACTAACATTTGGCAGAATTACATATACCTAAACAACCAATTACCCTTTATACTACAATATTTGATTTACTTGTAAACCAAGCTTATTCTCCAATTTTACTAAGCCAACTCTCTGGTTTATGTTTATTGTATGCTATGACATGTGCTTTATCTTCTTTTCCCCAATACGTTGAGGCTAATGGGTGATGATCGTGCACAGATGGTCCCAAAACATGATCCTCATAATTATATCCTCCGTGTCCATGATCATACCCTCCGTGTCCATGATCAAATGTGATGTGAGTATCGTGATCATCATGCTCATCATGCTCATAATACACTGGCGCCTTCAAGTGCTTAAACCATACCCAGGATTTAAAAGCATGCAACAAAAAGTATCCAAGACTAATCAAATAATATTTTTTAGCCAAAATAGCGTAGAAAAATTTGAGGAGGAAAATTAAGACTGCAACTATCACTACAAATATTATGATTTTGTGCACTAGTCTGGCTATGGGATGCGGTTTCTTCTTTTTCTTCCCTCTCATTTCACTAGTATGGGCTGAAATAGTCAAAATTGAATTTAAAAAAATTGATTTGAATTGATGATTTACAAGCGAATGTAGATGATGGATGCTATGAAGATGAGTTATGTTGTAGATAAGAACCATGCTCTTCAGATCAAATGAAATGGAAGAATCGAAAATAGTGTATATATAATATATGGTTAACCCCTAAACATTATTGTAGCATATTTTGAATAAAATTATTCCACAAAATTTATTATTTAAAAAATTAATAATCTGCAGACCCGCAACATTAAAAGAAGGATTAAAGGGACAAAGGTGGGTTTTCGTTAGTCGACTTCATTACTGAACATCATTGAATCTATATGCCATTGCATATAGAATTGAAATGATTTTTTTCATATGAGAGCACTGAATATTTAATCTAGAAAGTGCTTATTGGTATTCTTATTGTGTATGAATATTTAAAAATTTAAAAGTAAGAAAATCTCGACATTGGTGGGTGAGACCATGGATGTTAAGACAGGTATATGAGGTTACAGTAAAGCTGTTATCAGAATTATCTGCAATGGACTTTAATGCATCCAAAAACCATTCAAGAGTAAGAGAAGAGAAATTTTAAGAAATTTAGAGAAAGTTTCACTTTTTATATTCCACCGAGACTCAAATTCCAAGATATTTCGGGACATAAGATTCTTTTTCATCTCTTATTTTCAAGAACAGTATTTCACAATTTCTGTGAGATGTTTTTAACATAATGTAGAAAAGTTTAGAAGACTTTACTAGGTCAAATCATTTATTAGAAGAATTATGTTCGGAGAGAATTCGCTAACACCGGCCGATATAAGAGAAGCACCTATGGTCACTGTTGAGGGAGTCTTGATAACCGAGAAAGCAGACCTAGTCATGAAGTTAGTTAAGGAAACTCTAATTGGACCAGGACCCTCAAGTAGTATTTCATATTATCAACATGTTAATGGAAAAGGTTAATAGAGAACACCGTAAGCTCTGGTAGGAACTTCCTGGACTCAGACAGTCCAAAATATTCATAGAGCATACAAAATCAACTGCAGAAGCACACTTAGGAGCATAATAAAAATATATCAAATATGTTAACCTGATGGAGCAGATAGATATAGATAGATATACAGATTGTATAGAAGTCGTTAAAATAAATATCTTTTTTCAATAAATTTTTCAAAAACTAAAATAAGAAATATATAGAATTGAAAATCTTAAGCCGGATCTGGTTTTCTGTATGCAAAGTTAGGCTGTTTATATTTTTATGTCTTTTTCGGTTTTTCTAATAAATCACGATTCATTCCGTACCGATTAATACCTATTTTCGCGAAGCCAATCCCGAACGTATTCGTAACGCTAAAGTAAAGTCTACACGCCTACATAAACATTTAAACAATACAAATCCAGTAATAATATGCAGTGTAATGTTTATCTTAGCGTTCAGAATATGCTTGGGAACGGTTCCGCGAAAATAGCTATTGTATTTTAGTCAGGTGATTTCAGTAGTGTGTCTGTCTAAACTACTGAATCTAAATTATTGTTCAGAATGGTAAATTGAACAGTGAGTTTAAAAAAATACATTATAAATGTTATCGAGGAAGATCCGTCAACAAATAAGCAGGTAATGATTACAGATCAAGTGGGATAAGTAAAAAAAAAGTGTGGACAACATTGCGGGAAAATCAATTACACCCTTTCACGTTCAACGTGTAGATTTCCACTGGAGGGTTCAATTTTGGGAACGGTTCTTATAGCGATATGAATGTGATCAACAGTTAGACAGGACGGTATTGAAAGCATTTTAGAATAAATTAATGTAAGTTTCTTACTTTTGATTTTTTTTAAAAGGTTATTTGAAAAAGTTGTTTATTTTAATGACTTCTATACACAGCTAAAAAAGTATCTACTTAGGATTAACTCTGTACAAATATAGAATATATAGATTTATAGATTTATCAATATTATCTGATATTAATAGATAGTTACAATCTATAATAATGAAATAAAATTGTGAATCTAAAGCGCTGTGATGCATTCACGAATTCGTGCTTTTTCATGCTAAAAATGTTTTGCATTCGACAGTGGCAGGCTTTATAAATGTGCATTTATAATAGTAATTTATAATTATTGTGATAAATCTAGATCAAGTGCAGTCATGCATTTAAAACTTGCATAAAATCATGCTGGATCATACTTAGAATTTTTCAAAAAACTTACTTATTTTAACTTCCGCTATTCATTTTCTGAGAAGGTATTAAAAAATCACTATTTGGTTTATACCATTATGTGATGGCGAGAATTATGATTTAACGGTAATATTTTATACAGAGTGAGGCACTGAAAACAGTCCACGCCAAAAAATGTTGAGATAGATCGATTTTTAATCCAAAAAGACATCATTTTCCGATATAGACATCTTTCATATGTTAACGCCTACCCATCCACGTCCTCAATCACTTAATTTTAAATTGGAAATGTACCATGGATGGCGCATCATTTTAAAAGTAATTTTATGGAAAATTCAGTAATATGACTGTTCATCGCGTTACTTTTGGTTTTAGCGCCCTCTAGCGGGCTAAAAACCATTACTAATGTATTGTAAAGTATGACACTCATTTGAAAATTTAATTTTATTAGGAATTTCATGCGTAACCTAAATTTATTTTAGTTGATTTCGATTAAAGTTAAATTGATTTAACCTTAACTTTAATATCAAGGTTTTTCAATTAATTATTTAAGTCTATGTTTCATTCAATTATGTTTTGTTATATTTGGAATTAATTTATCAAAAAAATGAGCTTTTAAAATATTTTAATGAAAATAAATAATTTTAGCTTTAATAATAATAATGTGTATCGGACATCGGATCATTTCCTCTTTTTTGCATAATTGTTATAGTAAACACTACAGTTATAATCTTCGTTAACATTTCCAGTGTGGGTTTATCTATGGCTGGTACTTGTTTCTTCATTGTTTCTTCAAATGTTTAAAAAACTTCTTGGAACTTGGATGGTAAGGTTTGACTCTGTCCTTGTTTATTAATGTCAATATTCACTTGTATATTTTTACTTTTTCTGTCAATTGTAAAAAAAATTCTTCTCCCATTTCTTTTTAGTTTGTTACGTTTTCATTTTGAATTTTTCCGTTCTCTACTTTGAGTTTCGATAGAAAATTTTTGATTTTGTTATCGTTAGAATTTGATCTTTGTAGTTTTATTTTTTCGTTTCGTTTTTTACTTCTGAAAATTATGATTAAAAACTTTAAAGATTGATTTCGTTTTTCGCGTTTTATTTTGTCAGTATTTTTTATTTTCTCCTTCTCTTCGGTGAACTGTGATATACATTTTTGGAATATAGTTTGTTTTCTTTATGGTCTACCTCTACGACAATTTTTTTTTCGGGCTATATCCCCTCTTATGTGAATTGAGATATAAATTTTTGGAACATAGTTTGATTTTGTTTCTGATCTTCATTTTCTTTTTCTTCGGATTTTTCCTTATCTGCATCTTGTATTTCTTCAGATTTGTTCTCCACCTTTTTGAATAGCAATAGAAACTTTTGAAAAAATGTTAAATTTTGTTTTTCGTTTTCCGTATCTACATCTTTTGTTTTCGCAATTTTGGTGTCCTCTTCTGTAAATAGTGAAACATTTTGTGCTTCGTTTTCTTTATCTGTATTTTTTGTCTCTTTGAGTTTGTTCTCCTCTCCTGTAAATAATGATTGAAAAAAGTTTAAATTTTCTTTTTCGTTTTCTTTGTCTTCATCTTTTATCTCTTCATATTTGGTTCCTTCTTCTGTAAATAGTGATAGAAATTTTTGAAAAAAGTTCAAATTTTCTTCTTCATTTTCTTTCTTAACATTTTTTATGTCTTCAGATTTATTTTCCTCTTCGGTAAATGATAGAAATTTTTGAAAAAAAGTAAAATTTTGTTCTTTATGATCTTGCTTTTTTGTAGAATCTTCTTCATCGTCAGATATTTTTTCCTCTTCTTCAGTGAACAGGGACATTAACTTTTCGGAAAAACTCTGATTTTCTTTTTCATTTTTTTCTTTTTTGTCGCTTTTTTCTTCGTCTGTCCTATTCTTCTTTTCTGAAATTATATTTTGTAGTAAGATGGATATCGTGGAAAAATATTGATCCTGATTTTTAGATGAAAATGGTTAATGAGTTGAAATTCTGTTAAATTATGTAGTTTAGTTATGAATATTATGAAGGATTGTTATTCACGACAATTATCAACTTTTATTTTAAATATTATATTATTCTATTGTTGTATACGTATACTTAAGTATGTTTATTGATGGTAAATACATAAATTGTTATAGAAGTCCAAGTAACTTTCATATTTTGCCTTGACACATACTTTTTAGAGGATATTTTGATAGTTCTTATTTTAGTCTGAAGAGAATGACTTGGTAGTTTCTTACTACAAATTTATATAAACAGTTTTATCGAAATAGATATACATTAATTTTCAAAATTATGATTTCACGTCTGGAAAGACATTATTAAAAATTCAAGGACTATCTCTTCTGAACCAAATGATGTTCAATAAACCTTTTAAATTAAAGAAGGAATCTCACCGTTTACCTATTTAATTTATTTTTTAGTTAATAAAATAGTTGGATCCAACGTTAATAAAATATGTTTTGCAGAATAAAATAAAAAAACATCAATTTATTTTTTTTAATAAATTATTCAATACAAAATAAAATACAATGACTGGCACTAAAAAAATTAATTATTCTATTCATATTAAATAATAAATAAAGAAGAAAACGATAGAAAAAGAACAATAAAACATTTATTTCAAAATGGCACATTTATATTCATATTTTATATTAACTAGTTGAGCAATAGTATATTATGCAACGATCATGTAATAACCATTACATGAGAGTTGCATACGCTATTTTTTCTACACCCGATAAATAATCAAGACCTATAAATATTATATTTATATTGGTATTGAACACAATAACAGTAATTACTCGTATTTCTATAAAAAATTCTACAAAATTGTAATTAATGGTATTTTTGCGGTAAAATATTTTGTACTGTATTTTCTGCTTTCTCCGATATGTGTGGAAGAGTCTTCTATATCGCTAATATCAGACATTTTAATATTATAATTATCGAAGTTTAGCTACCTACGAAAATTTAATACGTTTTGACAACTAAAATAATTACATAGGAACCTAGGACAAACGTCAAACAGCATGCTTGATTGAAAAATTGTAGGTTTCTATTGATTAAAAATCTGTATCGTAATGAAAAATCTGTATCATAATGGGTATCATTATGAAACGGATTATGGGCATATAAGTGCATTATTATAATACGGGTGTAGAAAAATACATTTTTAGTTATAGTACGAGCAAGAGATATAGTGTGGCTTTAAAGCTTTAAAGCCAGCCGGCAACATACAAATAAAACTAAGGAGACTGATGCATCACTTTTAAATTAGTAGAGGAGCATTCAAGAGATTGAGTATACTTATTTTATTTTTACTTCTCTCGATAAAAGGGAAGTATTGTAATCGTGAAAATTTATATTTTCACTTAATTTTAAAATAACCAAAAAAGGTTGACGCTATGTGCACGTAGTTTAGATTCAAAAGGAAAAACTTGTATTTCGTGCAAAACTTTTTTATTAATCAATGCAAAGCGCTTTCGGCTTATTTGCCATCATCAGTGCTCATCTACAAAAATTGTGGATGTAAACTTACAATTTAAAAAGATTTTAAAAAATATATTATAAAATCTGAATTAGACTTTTAAGTCAAAAGTTAAAATAGTATATATACAATTGTTTGAACAAATTAAAAATTACAAGAAACAAACAAAGTGACAAAAAACTGGTATTGGGAATAGTGAGTGTGGGATAAGCCCTTACAAATCAAATCTGATCTCCAGAAGCAAGTTAGCTTGTGTGGAATTAAGGAATCATGCCACCCTCACTATTCACAAAATTGAAAAAAGATTAACAAATTAGTTAAAATTTAAAGAAATTTACAATTAGAGGGTGACTGTGGAAGATATATTGAAATTTGAATCTAGAATACAATATTTGATATGAAGAAAGTAAAACGCAGAAGGCCAAAGTAAAAAAACTGAAGATTTTTTTATATATTTTATATTCATTATAATTATGAAAAAGTCTACCTACTGTCCACAACGTATCCAACAAGTTCCTGGTTATCCTCACTCCCAAAATTATATATTTCGGGATATTTACAACTTGCTAAATCATAATTTTATTAATATTAATATTTTCAAATTTAAATTTCTCTCTTCATTTTGGTTCAAGTTGTTTAACCGTTTCCATATGACAGTGGTGACAAGCGACACTTGAAGACTTTGACTTGTCAAATGTCAACAGAAGGAGGTGCGTTCACCTCAGTGTGAAACATGTTTCTCCGAGTGTGATTCGAGTGATTGGAGGTTAACGGAGATCAAAATTTGTTATTGAATTTAAAGATTTAATTTATTGTTAGTTAAATTTAAATAAATGTTTAATATAAATGATATTATTATTTTGATGTCAAGACAAAACAAAAATGTCACTCGCGTGATTCTGATGTGCCAGCCCGGGCTCTGCAGAACATTCTTTCAGAGAACCCAAGATGGCACAACTGAACCCGCGGTCCCTAAAGGTGAATCTGATGTTTAGTCCTAAAAATTACTAAATCACTCAACAAGCGTACTCATGGTTAAAAGAGACAAAATAGAGAACAAAAAAGTTTTAAACAAAGTACCATGGTCCCAAAGGTAGGCTCTGATGGGTGAAATCGAGTTTAGGAGGGGATGGCTCTCGAAGGCTTGTATTGGGTGACTCGGACCTACATCATCATAGAGGGTTAATTGAGTTGTCTATGGAGTGGTATGAAATTTCTGTTAAGGTTCACTTGAGTGTTGAGACAGAGTATATTGTTGTCTCTTTCGTTGTATATATACTATTTTAACTTTTGACTTAATAGTCTAATTCAGATTTTATAATATATTTTTTAAAATATTTTTAAATTGTAAGTTTACATCCACAATTTTTGTAGATGAGCACTGATGATGGCAAATAAGCCGAAAGCGCTTTGCATTGATTAATAAAAAAAGTTTTGCACGAAATACAAGTTTTTCCTTTTGAATTATATTTTCACGTTTTCGGGTCCCTAGATTGCAAAAAACATGTTTTCCCTATTCCGTCAGTCTTTCCGCCGTCTGTAGCGGTAGCTCAAAAACAGCTTAAGAGAAAAACTTCAAATTTTGTATGTACGTAAGGCTTCCTCTTGGCTCAAAACCGGTTATACTTCCGGTCAGATATATACAGGGTGAGCAATTAAAAAAATATTTATTTTTAAAAGTCAGCAGATTTCGACTAAAATTGCTTTCTGATCAAAATGTTATCTGATCAAAAATAACATGATAGGGTGTGATTTCTCAGGTCATTTTATGAAGGAAAATTTCATATTTCCTCAACGGCTTTAATGTTTTTTCTACAGGGAGTTGAAAATTTGTTTTTAAAGATATATTTTTTAATATCTCTGAAAATAGTTTAGATATAATTTTCAATTTTGGCATGTGTTAATATATTTTAATTAGAAAATTTATTTTATTGCTCTACAAGTGGCGTCTCTGCAAACATGACACCTGATATTATCTACAAAAAAAGTTGTACGCCACTGACATTTTTCCATGTTGATATTTTTACTCATTTGACTGGTCAATTCTACATCTATATAGCATCTTATATTTTTCTCGCCAGCGCTCGGTTCTAGATTAAAATAATTGAAATTAATCGTCAATACTGCAAAATTAAGAAATTTTAATTTAATTGATGAACGATAAGGTAAACGACACTAAAGTATGTGGTTTTATATCGTATTAAAAATACAAAAATTATGGGGATATCTCAATGTCTACATTATGTCCGTGGTATTCAATAATACTATCTACAGCGTATACTTTTTTAAATTGTTTCGTCCGTAAAACTTTAAGAAGTTCATCTTTCTTATAGCTGTCTTGAAAATTCAAATCATTGTCCATTAGAGAATTTTGTATATCCGCTTTCGTCATCGTGTTGAATGTACTCCTAAACAATCTGCGTCTTGACTAACTCGTCGGCAGTCAAACGATTCTCAATGCAGTGCAGGTGGCTGGAAATACAACCGGCAGGAGCGGACTGGTTTGTGAATAAATTTTTATAAAATTAACTTAGTTCGTTGTAGATTTAAATCCTCTTATTGGGTGGTGTGATTAAAAATCTAATGTGTCCAACACATGACTTTCTTATCTAGTTATTACAGGCTTTTTCCGGTTATTTTGTACAACCTATATTGCATCACATCTGTAAATGTTTAGAGGATAAATTAAATATATACATTTTCTACATACTTCTACCTCAAAACATTTTTTATACATATATTGTTATGGAATTATAAAATTGAACGAAAAATAGAAGTAATTAAGTAAATAATAGTATGCAATTTTGTAATTATAACATTTTTTTAGTAAAAAATATAATGGATATATGGATATGATTTAAAATGTTAAAGTGAATGTAAATTTGGGAAGGTTATTTTGATTGGTTGTCAGGTAAGACATTTTAACAAAAATAAAACAAAGATAGATTAATACCTGTTTAATGAAACAAAGATAGATTAATACCTGTTTAATGAAGTTAAAATACAAAGAATTTCCTTTTGAAAGATAAGATAAGAAGTTCAGCCAAATATCCAAGTGAGACATACAAAATGTGGTGTCATAATTGTATAAGGGTTTTAATTGGGATTTTCCTTTGGTATCTAGGAGGTATCTAGAAAAATATATACGGGCTGGTTTTTGGAATGGGCTTTCTTTGCGAAGGAAAATAAATAGTAGAAAGGGCTTAGTAAATAAACAAACTTTCCTCAATAGTCTGTACAAATGAAGATAAACATGAAACCTGGACGGCAAAGCAAGTCGCGGTATCAAAATTTCTACGGGAAATGACAGTACAAATGTATACGTCGGCAGAGAAAACAGAACAGTGGTAAATCCATATACATATAGACTGAGTGAGTACCTACTCTTTATGTAAACTGAAATTGTGCGGTCAGTCAATGTATTATTGAGTTTATGGAATATGGGGTCTATTCTGTAACAATTCCTTTATATTTAACGGCCTTTAAAAATATTGGCGGCCTTTAAAAATATGTTCGTATTCGTTAATTTACTTCTGTCATTATTTAAACAGATTTCTTTAAGATGGTCTTCTAATATATTTTAAAGGTCCGTTTAAATAATGACAGAAGTAAAGAAGAAAATATTTTTAAAGGCCGTTAAATATAAAGGAATTGTTACAGAATAGACCCCTTTATCCGTTATTTACGAACTTTATACATGATTTCTCTAAAATGGATCGTAATGGAAAAATTGGAGAACAAGTGTAAAATTTTCATTGGCATTGTATAAAAATGTTTCGAGTTAGAAGTATATGGAAAATGTATATATTTAGTTTATCTTCTAAACATTTACAGATGTGATGCAATATAGGTTATACAAAATAACCGGAAAAATCCTGTAATAACTAGATAGAAAACTCATGTGTTGGACACATTAGAATTTTATTCATACCACCCAATAAGAGGATTCTAACAACTCGAGAAAATGCTGTTCAAGCAAGATCAACATCTTGTTTTAATTTATAAGATTCAACGTAATATTTAGATACGTGTAACACGTTCTTTCCTTTTGAGATAATTCCAAACATAAGGAGTAATAACAAGGAAATTTGCCTAGCTTCGGGTTTGCTTAGTTGCACGGTTTTTTTTCACCATCTCCTTTTTATCTCACATTTTAAAAATTAGAAAAATAATCTACAACGAACTAAGTTAATTTTATAAAAGTTTATTTACGAACCTAGTCCACTCCTGTCGGTTGTATTTCCAGCCACCTGCACTGCATTGAGAATCGTTTAACTGCCGACGAGTTTGTCAAGACGTAGATTGTTTAGGAGTACATTCAACACAATGACGAAAGCGGATATACAAAATTATCTAATGGACAATAATTTAAATTTTCAAGACAGCTATAAGAAAGAAGAACTTCTTAAAGTTTTACCGATGAAACAATTTAAAAAAGTATACGCCGTAGATAGTATTGCTGAATACCATGGACATAATGTATTGAGATTTCCCTCTTATTTTTGTATTTTTAATAGAATATAAAATCACATACTTTAGTGTCGTTTACCTTATCGTTCATTAATTAAATTAAAATTTCTTCATTTTGCAGTATTGACGATTAATTTCAATTATATCTAAATTATAAATTATATCTAAACTATTTTCAGGGATATTAAAAAATATCTCTTTAAAAACAAATTTTCAACTCCCTGTAGCAAAAAATTGAAGCCGTTGTGGACATATGTTCATATGAACTTTTCTTTATAAAATAACCTGAAGAATCACAACCTACAATATTAGAATACCATTAAAAAACACCTTGTATAAATTGTAAAAACAGGAAAGCCATTTTGAATTTTTAAAAAGTAATTTATGATCTGTTATCTTTGACCAGATACCAATTTTATCAGAAACCAATTTTAGTCTAAATCTGCTGACCTTAAAAAAAAAGTTTTTTAATTGCTCACCCTGTATATATCTGAACGGAAGTTATAACCGGTTTTGAGCCAAGATGAAGCCTTACCTGCATACAAAATTTGAAGTTTTTCTGTTTAGCCATTTTTGACCTATCGCGCCAACAGACAGACAACAGGCGGCGGACGGCAGACAGACCGACGGAATGGGGAAAACATGTTTTTCGTAATCTAGGGACCCGAAAACGTGAAAATCTAAATTTTCACGATTACAATACTTTCCTCTTATCGAGGGAAATAAAAATAAAATAAGTGTCCTTGGTTTTTTTTTTTGTATGTTGCCGGCTGGCTTTAAAGTCACACTATATATCTTGCTCGTACTATACTTAATTACGCTATAGGCAAGAATAAAATTAAGAAAACTAATCTTTGGGTTTTCATAAAACGTATCTCCTTCAAAGCAGGAAAAAATTATAGAGGTAATGGATATTATATATTAAAGCGATTTATAAAATCCTGATTATGCTATATTTAAGATGAGGTTGCTAATCTAAAATATATTTTGTTTTTTAAAAATATGGAATACTCTTAAACAATTAGATAATATTGAAACTTAAAGTAAATGCATTGTAATTAATTATTGTAACCTTTATGAAGTAATGTAATTTTATTGATTCCTTTCCGTCAGAACTTTATATAAAATTTTAATAATACGCCTCTAAAGGCATATAAAATTTTACATGAAGAAATGTTATTATTCTACTGAACATTTTTTATAAACTAACGTTTAGCAGAATTATATACCAGGCTACAACGAGACTAGGGTCACGTTAATACGTAACTCTGTTATTTAATAAACGTTTTTGATCAAATTTGGAAGAAACATAATTTTGAATTGATACTTAAACAAAATGGCCGACTTCTGATTTTATTGTAAATGCCATTAAGTTTGACTTTTTAAATGATATATTTTATGTTTTTTGAATCTACGCTTCTATTGCAAAATTTTTGATTTTCCTAAATAATTTTTTTGATTCTATTTACCATGATTTAAAAAATAATATTCTAAGGAGTGCATGGTGAATGCTGTCAGCTTGGTAATATTATTTTCTATCCAAAGGCGAAGTGGCACTTAATAAGTGCCATTTAAAAAGTGAGATTTTATTACGTTTTAGAAATTAATTTTTATCTCAAGGATTTTATTTTTCACACAAATGGTAAAATAGTTTTTGTGTCGAGTTATTCAAAGCTAGTAGAACATTATTATTGAACAAAGTTCTCGAGTTGCTTAGCAACCCGCAATGGCTCCAGGCCGTATATGTCTAAGCCTTACAGCGTGGTCGTTGAGCAATTATTTAAATTTAAATGACTCCAGACTGCACAGCTTAGGTAGGTTAGAAAAGTTTTTTTTTTTTAATTTTATAACAACTTATTTTTTTATTTTATGTAAAAAAATGCGTAGTCCCCCCGAAGGTTACGTTCAGGCTCTATTTTAGGACGCGTTTTATGAATTTTTTTTAATATCGAAAGGCGCATTTTTTGATAGCTGGGAGCAACGCACAAGTAAAAAATGACGATTGACATGTTGAAATTAATCTTTTTTTTTAACGACAGACGACAGTAGATAAAATTTCATTCCGATGTCACTAATGGAGGCCCTACACGCTACGATTTTTGTGAGATTTGAACTGCACAGTCCATCGATTCAGTCGATAACTTAAAGTGAAGTGCTCGATCTGACTCACATCTGGCCTCTCCTCTTTTGTCCTGTTTTGTCTAATGTGAAGATGAAGAGTACAATGAGCTGATTTTTATATCAGAACTGTGCGCCTTGGCCTGCAGGCCATATTGGAGCGTGTAGGGCCTCTATAACAGTTTTAAAATTTTGATAAACAAATACAAAGAAATTATAAGCGTTTACGAAAAAATTTTGGATGGTTTATTGCTCTATGGATAGTTTAATATTGTTATTTAGCAGTTTTTACTACAATAAATCAATCAAAATTATGTAATTCACATGTTTTTAAGATCGTAATTGGATGAGATATTTGGAAGTTTAGGTTAAAAAACAATACCTATTTTTACCTAACTTTGGCATATTTTTCCAGCATATCTGGTAAAACCGGAAGTCGGCCAATTTGTATAAGTATAAGTATCAATTTAAAATTTAATCTAGTAGGTTAGTTTCAAATTTGATCCAAATCGCTTTATAAATAAAAGAAATATTAACGTGGCCCTGGTCTCAGTGTCTTTTTGGATAAACCTAAAAACCACCAATTTTACCCTTTATACTACAATACTCGTTTTACTGCAAATTTTATCCTACAATTTTACTCAACCAACTCTCTGGTTTTTGTTTATTGTATGCCATGGTATGTACTTTATCTTTTCTTCCCCAATGCGTTGATGGATAATGATCGTGTACAGATGAACCCAAAACATGATCCTCATAATCATATCCTCCATGTCCATGATCATAACCTCCGTGTTCATGATCATAACCTTCGTGTCCATGATCATACCCTTCGTGTCCATGATCAAATGTGATGTGAGTATCGTGATCATCGTGCTCATAATACACGGGCTTCTTCAAGTATTTATACCATGCCCAAGTTTTAAGAAGATGCACAATAAAGTATCCAAGACTAATCAAAAAATATTTTTTAGCCAAAATAGCATAAAAGAATTTGAGAAGGAAAATTAAGACTGCAGCCACCACTACACCCAATATGATTTTGTGCACTAGTTTCACTAAAGGGTGCGGTTCCTTCTTTTTCTTCTTTCTCATTTCGCTAGTACGTGCTGAAATAGTCAAAATTTTAGTTTACAATAGTGTTTCGGATTGATGATTCACAAGAGGATGTAGTTAGATGATGGATGGTATGAAGATTATTTAAATGCCATGTTGTATATAAAAATCATTTCTTTAGATCAAATGCAATGGATGCATGAAAATGGTGTATACTCGTGTAAAGTGTAAATATTTAAATAGTTAAGCCCTAAATATTATCGTAGCAACTTTTGTTATCAAAGCCATTGATAACCGATTCAGTATTTTCAAATTATCACGAAAGTTTTAAGCTGGCTCATAAAGATAAATATGGTATAGTTAATCAAATGAACAACGAAATATGTTATTAAAAATTAATTAATGAACAATTTATTGAGTACGTCTATCATAAAATTATCTATAATCACGATTTTAAAAGTTCTAACAGTAGATTTATTCACTGTACGAGGGCTGTCTTTTAAGTTTTGTATATAGACTTAGAATAAAACAGCAGATAGTGTTTAAACATTTTAATGTTTTTCAAAGTATTCTCCACGAAGATTAATGCGCTTTTGCATGCGCTCGAACCAGCTCTGAAAGCAGTTATTCCACTCTTGGGGTGTTACAGCTCCAATGGGTGTTTTGAATGTCTCAACTGCATCTTCTGGTGACTGCAACCGTTGCCCACGCAGTGCGTTCTTTATTTTCGGAAAGGTAAAAAAATCGTTGGGACTTAGATCGGGACTGTAAGGAGGGTGGTCTAACAACTTAACGTTTTATTGCTCTAAGAAGGCAATTGTTTTGCGAGCTATGTGCGCACTTGCAGTGTCTTGATGGAGGATGATTCGTCGTTTGGGGTTGGTTTCCCGAAGCTTAGCCATGACTGCTGGCAAACAAATCGTTATATATATATATATATATATATATATATATATATATATATATATATATATACCAATCGGCAGTAACAGTTTTTTGCTTTTGCAGAGGAATTGTTGCAACATGACCTGCTTTGGAGACAAAGGTTAGACACATTTCGAGAACGGATCACTTTTGTCGGCTTGTCCTCACCTTGGAAAACCCAAACAGACGATTGGCGTTTATTTTCAGGTTTATATGAGTAAATTCATGATTCATCACCACTTGCGATGCAGTACACGTTTTTAGAGTTTCCAGCGTTGAAGCATTCCAGTGTTTTTTGACACCAATTTACCCTAGCTTCTTTTTGTTTTTCGGTCAACAGATGCGATATCCAACGGGACACTAATTTTTTTACTCTCAATTCTTCATGCTAAATCTTTTGGATTGAGGTCTTTGAAATCCCTAACGATGCTTCAATCTCGCGATATGTCACATGCCGATCTTCCTCGATGAGCCTGCGCACAACAACAATGGTTTCCTGGGTGACTACCGATTTAAGTGCATCTGTTCTTGGCTCGTCACTAAGATTAACCTGTCCTCGTGTAAATTCTTCATACCAACGAGAAAATGTCGATTGATGTGGTGCATCACTATCGAAAACAGAAATCAACTCGGCGAGACATTCTTGTTGAGATAATTGTCTTTAAGAGTTGTAAAACATTATGGCACAAAAATGTTCTCGGTTTAAATCCATTTCTTGAATAACTTGTCAACTTTGAAAATTCGGTGTAACTACAACACTCTATAATCGGACTGAAACTTGGAAGTAAGGTTAACTAAAAGCGACAGTTTGTTTTATTAGAGCAGTTTGATTCGTAACGCCCTAGAGGGCTTTAAAATGCACGGTATGCAAAACTTAAAAGACAGCCCTCGTAAAACTAAAACTAAAGTTTTCGTAATACTTTTTTGTAGATCGACATATCTTAATTTTCAAAATTGCTAATTCAGAGATACTCAGCTTAGTCATGGTTGAACAAAATTATTCCACAAAATTTATACTTTTAATCTACATGACCTGCAACATAAAAAAGTTGAACCTGCTACGCAGGCGCGGATACAAGGGGAGGTAATAGAGTAATTAACCCCCCCCCCCCCGAGCTGCTCGAACTAATCCAGGAATTTATTAAATTGTAATCTAAAAAAAACGAGATTTTACGAGAAAACAAAAAAACAAGATGACAGTGACGAATGAAGAATAGAGAAGCACAGGCTGGCGTACATAATTTTAGTTATTTTTTAAATAAACGAATGATTCTTTGATAAAATTGTATCTACCCTCCCCCCCCCCCGAAAATTCTGCTGCTATGTCATCAAAAAATAATAATATAATAAAACTGGATTCAGTTGAAAATGTTATTTTGAAGACACCATACATCATGATTGATGAATTCAAGAACTTTCTTAAGGTTTTCATTGTTAAGAAATTTGGTTGTACACAAATACTGGTTGAAGAACATTACATCAGAAAAGTTTAAGTACTTGGGTTTCATGGAATTAAGTCAGTGAAGGGGTGTGTGAAAGCAGGAACCAATTAACTTTAAGTAAGGGAATCTTTTGCCCATCGACAGGAACAAACCTGTTATACAAACAGTTTTATGACTGCATATATTCCAAAAACCCTAACACCAACCTTAGGTATGTAATAGAAAAACACCCCTCCGTATTTCAATAAGAGCGCTATCGAAAATCAGCAAATCCATTTAATGTCAAGCCATCTAGGTGGCTCTTAAGGCTGGTATGGAATTGCATCGAAGAACTGAGAACACTTGAATATATCGAAGGAAATAAAAAGGCCGGTGAGCTTGCAAAAAGAGAGTCAGAAGAGACACCGAAACCAGATACTTTTGAGGTCCCAAAAAAGTACAGTACTAGGTTTTATAAAAGATTAAATTCGGAGAAAACAATTATAGGGAGAATGTCCCAAAACAAGCATAAACCCGCATGAAGAACAGGAGAACTACCCTCTATTAATATGAAACCCTTGAAAACCTTATGGCTCAGTAAAGGAACACCTAAACAAAATAGGCATGTACACTGGAGACCTATTTTTTCGACTATATCACAAATAACAATAAAGAGCCAAACATATAATGTCCGACTACGATACATTGGACCACAAAGACAGGTACTTGTTGGACAAGCCTAGAGAACACACACTCGGTCAAAGAAATGTATAAGGAATAAAGGTGGCAGAGTGGGTGGGTGGTGACAGGTTGGGTAAAACACAAGCCATTAGGCTGCAGGGAATAAAATATAAATAGACATTTTAATATACAGTTGAATAGTGAAGAAAATATACGAGCAGAAAATGCTTTCTGAAGAGATGAAGATGTTGTGATGGTTGCGTTTATTTAGAAAGAGAAATCAAACTAGGCTATTAGGTTGTGATTTTAACAAGTTCAGAGAAGATTAGAAAATCATCCCACTATAAAAGCGGGAGGGATGCACGTTTAATAAAAATAAGATAGGCATACCCTGGAAAATATATTAGAATACTGCTAGTGACAATATTGACTAGTGAATAAAGTTTGAAATAGCTGGATACTAGACACAGGACATGTGTATTAGACTTACAACACCTAATGGAAAACAACGAGATAATTTGATAGAAATTTACATTAAGGTTAAGAGTATGGGATTATTCCAGTGATCGAACTATCTGAAAAACTAAAGAATATCCTTATGTGATTGTATCGTAGTAAAATGCAGTCTTCAAGAAAATAATTTCGAATCTTTTTTATAATTAATATTTCATATAAGGATATAATGATAAAATGGGTCTAGATCGATTAGCAAATGGGTCAAAAATACTTCGAGCAGTTGTCAGACGACGCATTAGAAGAGAAATTAAATCTAGTACCAAATTTGGAACTCGACCTCACAAGGAGAAGGTACCAGAACCGATTGGGGTAATTCAGATTTAGGAAAAGGAATAAATCTTAATTCGAATGATAATATAAGTATGATGACAACCATGTGACAACAATTACTTACAGATACGGGTAGCACAGCGATAATACGATAGGTGTTTATAAGTCTAGTTAGAGACTTTTGTCAAATATACGTGATTATAAGTTACATAAGTTTAAAGTAATTCTTTCTGCAACAAGTGATGGAAATGAACAAGGATCATTATCGGGCTGTAACCTTTTACAGTTTCAAGCGTGGTTTGAACGGTAAAGAATGTTTTGAAGAAATCAATCGAGCACTTGTTTCTTCTCGACCATAAAGTGGTGGTACAATGAATTTCAACATAGTCGATCTTCCTTAAATGAGAGTTTGCGAGCTCCTAAGCCAAAAATTGCAGTTACATAAAAAAATATTAAATTTATTTGGAATATGATTAAGACGACCGACACATTACTGAAACATTGAAGCAACTTTAAAGATTGGTATGAAAGCAATTAGCACTATTTTACACAAACATTTGAAAGTCATTACACTTTGTTCTCGGTGGATTTCCCACAACTTGACTTTAGCTCAGAAAGAAAACCATGTGAGATGGTGCAGATCTACACTAGATTGTTTTCACCACGGGTCATCAAATTTTGTGTACAGCATCATCAGAGAGGATGAAACATGGATATATTACTATGATCTCGAAAAAAGCAACAATCGTCAGTTTGGGTCTTTGAGAATGAGTCAGCTCCAACAAAAGTTGTTCGTGAAAAAAGCCGAAACAAACTTTTTTGGTATTACTGGCCATTTTTCCATTGTAGCATTGGAGGATAGACGTACTGTTATTCAGAATGGCAGACTACAGTTTGTTTACCTCAGTTTCTCCAAAAGGTTCGCGCGAGGATCATTGGCTGTATAGTCCGTACCTAGCACCTAACGACTTCTTCTTATATAAATATTTTCGCGGGTAAAGGATAAATTACAGGGTTACGTTTTATGAAATGAAATATTCAAACTACGGCCAAAGGATTGGATACATTTTTATAGGAATTGTTTTTGCGGAGGCTAAAAAGACATTGACTGTGGGGAGAAATATTATGAAGATTTTTTTTGTAAATAAACTGTGTTTAACTTTACTAGGCTCAACAGAACTCGTAGAACACTGTGAAATTATCTTTGATTAATGACAAAATTCAATCGAAAGTCGAAAAAG